TATATTGGGGTTATATAAGGGTCATTTTGGGGTTATATAGGGGTTCTATTGGGATAATGGAAAAGAAAATGGAAACTACTATACAGAGTTTTAGGGTTTAGGCTTTAGGGTTTAGGGACCAAAGCAAACACGTATCAAAGCTACCAAGAAAATCATTGGAGGGTCTAGGTGAGCCCTTCCCGTGAGGTGCTATGAGGCACTACAGGCGAGCGGCCAAGACTCTACAGAAGCATCCATCCAAGAGGAGCGAGAGAACTTCATCGTGCAGATTACCAGCCGTATGGCCCGGGAACTGCGGCTACTGCGGCCTCAGGATTGTGGGGGGTTTAGTGTTTAGGGTTTTAGGGAGTATGAACAGTATAAACATACTCTAGGAGTCCAAGTAGCGAAATAGGATATAGTTTAGGCCTGAACAGCCCATCTAGGATCCCATTTGCCACCAAACTACAGCCTACTTGGGTACTTGGACCCTTAGGTAGAGGGCTTAGGCTTCAGGGGTTAGCTTTAGCGGAAGAGTTGATACTTCAACGGTTGAGCAGGGGTTGCTCGAGTTGCCACCAACCACAGCTTATCTAACAGCTTAAAGATATGCAGACGGTAGTGATGTGCTTGTTTCTTTGGTAAGAAGATTTGGATAACCCCAACTTCTTTTAATAAGCAAGCACATGGGAGAGTCGTTTGATGGCCATAGAGTTCTGATTTTGGGGGTGGGAGTTACCAAAATCAAGCCACAAACCAAATGACAATCCCCCTAACTTCAGTTTCCGTGTCATGTTCCATTCTCTTTGCCACTTGATTCTGCGCTTTCGGAATCGAGATTACCTGTAAAATCCCAAGAATCCCCTCATTTATCTTGGAGCCATGTTGCAGGACGCCAGTCGTGTTCTGCAGGCCATCGGCCGCTTGGGCCTCATCGACCCAAAGCTACTTGAGTGCTATTTTTAAACGGGATTGTGGTGGCACGACAGTGTCCAGCATAGAGTGTGAATACAACATTTCTTGGGGGGTAAACTCACCTGAAATTCTTTGGCCTACTTTCCCCTAAACGAGTATGGGAGCTGATATGGCATTTTTTCAAGAGACAATAGTCTGTGCAGGGCCATTTCTGGGCTTTCATGCAAGTTTGGCGGAGGGTACATGATACACACCCAGGAAGAGTTGCTGCTGAAGCCTAAAGTAGACCCAGAGAGTTGTAGGATCAACCTAAAATTCTCTAGGAGTCTGCCTAATGAGCTTCGTTTTGTCAGTTTATCCCTATACCACCTCATGTCACCCGCAACCAGGAACCTTTTCAAATAAATGGTCTTCTCGAGACTTAGGGTTTAGGGTTTAGGGTAAGGATGTCCCGAACAGAGCAAGTTTTTTTTGCACAGGAGAAGCCTGCAATAAGAGTTGATTCTTGCTGTGTTTAGTAGTAAGCCGGGTGCTGATCATAAGATTTCCCAAGCAATCGGCCCATTTCCAGTGCGGATGGAGGACTGCTATGGGTATTGCTCAAAAATGTCCGTATAGAACTATTAGTAGGGCCCCCCATAATCCCCTTCCTAAATCCTAAACGGGACTCTAACCCTAAACCCCTAGGTTCCCTAAAAGAACTCCCCTTTGAGAAACTCGCTTATGAACTTCTCAAGGCTGCTGGCCACAGCTGCGGCACTAGTTCCGCCACGACTCGCCAGCTACACCGCCCCGGAAATTTTGGCCCTACTGGAGGCCTGAGCATAAGTTCAAGTAATGTCTCTCAAAGCCTGAATATCATCGTCCCCCCATAATACTGAGATGCTCTCACGGCCCCTGTTGCAATTAAGCAGACTCCTACACTCATGAGAGGTTTCCTTCATCTCGCAAGCAATTCTGACAAAGCGTGCTCGTGACATCGCAGTAGCCGCAGTGTACCTGTACTCCTACGTATCTACCTCTGCAATACTGCCAAGAAGATATCTGTGCCCTTAGTGTTTCTTGGGGCCTGACTTGATGGCAGGTTCTAGCCCTTACTTGCATTTACATTGCTTTGTGGCGGAACCGGATTCCCAAACCCTCCAAACCTCCTCCGAAAGGAGGACGGGATCTTTACAGGAGCCCCTGAATACCCCTCAAGAATATGCATAGCAGTTTCCCTTTATGTTACATTCCCTACCGGCCCCCTAAACTCCATGCAACCAGCACCATCGCCCCCTCCCTAGGCGTATGCATCAGCTGGCAACCCGGATGCCTTCATGCTGCCCTGCCTGCGTCGAGCACTCGTTCCCCTTCCGCGTGCGTGGGAGGATCAGCTGCAGGAGCTGGACGACGCTCAAGTTGTACAGGCACCTCATATATGTACATACATATATATATATACATATGTATATGCATATTTATACACACACACATATATACATATATGTATATACACGCTTAGGTAGGTTTGCATATACCAACCTACAAAATTCTGGTAGGGCTGGAGTTTTTGGGTGTCTTCATGAAGCCAGCGTACACTCTCCAGTACTCCAACGAGCCTTGAATACGCAGAGCAGACACATCTATAGTCAATCATGCTGCATGTGTATCTGTGCTAGAAGAGAGATCAGCAATCATTGCAGCCCTAAAAGCCGAGTCCCAAAATGCGTTTTTAGGGTTGAGGGTTTGGCTGAACGCTCTGGGTTTCACTCTTAGCACATTGTTCCAATTATGAGCTCTCCCAACCACCTGCCTACACTACCCTCCTCAAGGCTCCCCCCTAATTAGGACCATTCAAGTCAATCAACACTAATCAACCCTGGAGGCAAAATTAGCAGGGGAAGCCATGATCCCACAGTCATGCCTGATCCCGGACGCATGACGACAGACCTAGCGCTTCACGTCTACTCCCCTTGTGCTGCTTCAACAAAAAAGAACACCAAACATCTTACAATTCCCGTAAAAACTGTAGATCCCTGAGCCTCAACGCTTCAGAAGGCAGCTTCCGCGTTCGCCAGCCTCCATCACCCCCCCGGTCTCCTGGCACTGCTCATGGCCCTGCCAGAGCCAGCATTCCGCCGCCGGGGCCAAGGCGCGCGGCGACGTCAGGCCGTTGATGGAGTGAGATTAGGGTGAGGGTGCTTTATTTAGGGTTTACTTATATAACCTCAATTTAGGGTTTAGCTTGACCTGGGTTTAGGGTTCGGGGTGTAGGGTTTTGGGTTCACGGTTTAGCAGCTAGGTAGGGCAGAGCCCAAGCTATAACCAGGCAGTATCCTGAAGCGGCCTATGAGGACTGTTATGGAGAACACAAGTGTTTCGCAATGTATGGACCTAGTGTGGGATTACTGTGCAAGTCTTAGGATGTTTGGGCTGGGATTTAAAGTCCTGGGCTTAAGCTGCAGCGCTGAGGTAGAGGGTTTGGGGTTTGAGTTTTGTCGATGACGGTTTGAGTTTTAAGGTTCAGGGGTCACGCCTGTGGCGGCTAGCATGAACCCCACATAAGAATCCAGCTTTGCTTACCCGAATTTGGGAAGGTTTCGGGATTGAATGGGCTGGGCAGAGCTTTAAGGAGTTCGTTCCTTTGACGTTGAGTGAGCAGAGGTCTTGCTGCTCTCATTCTCCTCGCAGACTCGTTCAAGTCCTGTTGCTCTTATTTGAGCTATAGTCTAAACTCTAATATTCCCCTTAATGAGCTCTATATGGTCCCCTCTATACTCCCAATATAACCAGCCTTTGATGAATTGTGACTATAGATTATTTGTTGTATGATGCCCGGGGCGCAGAGGAGGCAAGAACCCTAAGCTAAATGGTAAGCCCCAATAGCTGACATTTTTAGACCCTAACCCTTACAACCCCTTGACCTTAAAAACTCTAAACCTAAAACCCCCAAGCCCCAACTATAATTCCCCAACCCTCATTCCAAACCCTATTGTACACCCTAGTTCCGGAATTACAGATAGGCGCATGCCGATGCTAGCACCGCGTCTGCTGTGCGACAGCTCGCCCCTGCCTCTTAGCTCTTCAAACTTGAGTTAAGGGTTTTTGGCAGGATTTGGGTGTTTTCAGTTTTCAGGATGTAGGGTAGCATAGGGTTTATCGTCCCCCTTAAGTAGCTAGAATTTGGGGTATATGGGGATCTTATTATGACATACCCAAAGCCATATTCTATCTGCTTAAGGGGAACTATACAGCCTGGGGTTTGGGGAATAGCTTCTCAACATCATGAGTGCTTCCGGTATTTGACACCAGGGATGGTCACAAGCAAGCCTTAAAGCTGAGGTAGACTCCAAACCCTAAACCACAAACCCTACACCCCACACCTTAAACCCTCAAACCCTCAAACCTCAAGCCCATACAAACTTACAAGTACTTAGGGTTCTCAAATTTCCTTTATTTCAAAATTTGACAATTACGAATTTCAAATTCAAAATGACAACCCCAAACCCTAAGTAATAGCAATAAACCCAGGTTTCCCAGCTAACATAAGGCCTGCCAACTGGCCTTAGCATCTTTGGTGGCGCTGCACCTTCCAGATTCCCAGACTTTTGCCGCCGCGGCTGCTGCAGTGATGCAGGGGGCCGCCAAAGAGGCAGAGAGGCCCCAGGGCCAGCAGAGTACTTGGTTTTTTTTGTTGGGGGAGGGGGGGGCAGGTGGTTTAGGGATAGAAGGGATAGCGTACATATCGGGATGGTTATGGAAGGCAGGAAGGTTGTGCTTATCTGGCTCTCGGCGCGTCGAAGACTTGTAGAGTGAGGAGACCACCAATCTCCTGCTTCAGTCCGCTTGCGCTGTTGAGGCATCAGTGAGGAATCTTTCGCGCAGTGTCCTCCACGATTGCGGGTCACAGGTGTTGGACGAATGAACTGTGGGGTGAGACACTTTAGCGTAGAAATGTTCTCGTTAAAACAGAATTTCTTCACTAGGATTCTCAATTGCGCCATACATCGCCAGAGCCCCTTCCGTGTAATCGACACCTAGGCATCAAAACGGTGCCTCTCTCATGGACTCCCTGACCCGGTCCATGGAAGGCGCTGAGGATTTGTGGAGGTCCATGGGCCCACCGCTTCTGGGTTTTAGGGATTCCGCATATGTCAACTCTAGTCACGCTAGTCCTTAAGAAAAAGGGTTTAGTTTAGGGCCTAGGTATTTGATTACCCTGTGAAGGACCGCAGCTAAGCCCTCACTCTACACCGCGGATGAGATCATTTTGGCTTGCATCGCCTTCCCGACGCACCTCTTCAAGTTTGAAGGTTTGGGGTCTCTTCTAGGAAGGTTAGCGTTGAAATGAGAGTACCTGAACCCCCCAAAAGTCGGTATCTCATGGGCCAAAACCCCCGAAGAATAGGTCAAAAGGCCGCTATTCTATATACTTTGGAGGGCCAGGTTTGGCTTAATAAAGGGGATTTCGGTAACCCCAACCCCCTAAAATGAGGACCCTATAACAGTAATATGATGGTTATAGGGTCCTAATTTCGGGGGGTTGGGGTTACCAAGATCCCCTTGTTATTGTTGAAGGATGTGGGTTCAGGGATGGTTCAGGCAAAGAGGTCAATTATAGACAACCTCGAAGCCTCAAAGCCCTCACCCCCCAAGCCTAGGGTTTCAAAACGCGACAGCCTGAAGCCATCCCCATCCTTGGAGGGTCATAGTTTTTTTGGTGTTGGGGATTTAAGTTTTGAGCGTTTGGGGTTTTAGGGTTCGAGGTTGTTTATTTTTGGGGTTTCAGGGTTGTGGGTTTTAGGGTTTGGAACTTGAGGTTTGGGGTTCAGTGAAGCTCCCTCAAATTTATCGCTTGTGGCTGTCCTAGCCAGATGCCAGCTGATAATTTGAACTTTTATTATGGGTTCTGGACCATCAAGCACATATTTCCCTAAACCCTAAACCCAAAGCCTAAACCCTAAACCCTAACCCTAATGTAAACTCTAAACCCTAAACTTTCAAGTCGTCCAGACATGTAAAGGCTCGGCAGTGACCTTTGGCTTGAGGAGGCCGCCGCGCGGATGAATGAGGCCGCCAGACCGCAAGATGACCGTGACTTACTGGTGCTAAGTTTAGGGTTTAGGTTTTGGGGTTTAGGCTTTAGGGTTTAGGGTTCCATGTGAGCAATTCCCAATACTCGCATATAGGGGACCATGAAAGGGAATGCCGTAGGATTCGTAAATTGCGCCAAAACCCTCAAAAGCGATAGGACCCCCCCAAA